GAGACCTGTCCAGGTGTCCCTGTGATGGACTGGAGACCTGTCCAGGTCTCCCTGTGATGGACTGGAGACCTGTCCAGGTCTCCCTGTGATGGACTGGAGACCTGTCCAGGTGTCCCTGTGATGGACTGGAGACATGTCCAGGTGTCCAACACCTCTTGCACAGTGACTGCTGGACATGGGCACCAGTGACCCCTGCAACCCAAAAAGGAAGCGGGTAAAGATGATGGATGGATGGATGGATGTGTGGTTGGGTGGGTGGATGGATGGATGTGTGGTTGGGTGGTTCTAAAGTGGGCATGAAACTCCGGCCCTGTCTTCTGTTGTTTCAGTCCATCAGGAGCCACAGAGCTCCATCTGGAACATCAAATGTCCTGTTGGGGACACTTCCTGTCTACTGCACTAACCCATCAGAACTTTAGCATCAACCAAAGCCTCATGATGGATCCTGTTCTGGCTTCTTACCCGTTGCAGGGGTTCTCCTGGTACTTGGGTGCAGTGTAGGAGAACGGCGACATGGTTTTATCCATGTAGGAACCAAAACCCAGCCTGAAGTTGCTGGTGAGCTTCCCCATCTCCTCTGCCAGCTTGGTGCCCATGTTCAGGATGGTGTCCAGGTCATCCTTCATGGAAAGGGACAGGTCCATCAGGTAGTAGAGATCTACTGGGTAGTCCTCCACCTGCCGCACCTGCAGGCTGAAGTGCGTCTGCTCTCCTGCATCAACAAGGTCACAGAACCCATCAGCTGGATGATCACAGAGGAACGTTTGCTCTTACCAGCAAGGTGAGGATTAGTACCGGGTCTCAGACTGAGCGAGATCTCCTGAGGACTGATCTGGACTATGTTGAACTGGGCTGATCCAGATCCTTTAGAACTCAGGGGTCTGTTCTGGAGGACAGAGATGCTGCTGGTGGGGTACTCGATGAAGCGGGCCGCGCAGCCTCTTTTCTGCAGGTTCTCACTGAAGTCACATCGTGATGCCAGAGAGCGGCCAGGTCCAAAGTCCTGAGGAGAACAAAGAAACCTTCAACGGGGTTTCACCAAACCACAGCGTTTCCTCCACCATTATCAAGAAGGGCGCCCCGTCAACAGAACCGAGCGCCCCGCCTACCAAACCCACCTGCTCCACTACCCCACCTTAAAAATGAGGGGGGGAACTAGATTCCCTCAGCACACCTACACGTCAGAAGGCACCGCATGGTGAACCGTTTGTGTTAACGAGTTCTCGTTTTCAACGTGGAACGTTGAGCTTCACTCGTCTAGAGAGAAGACGCCGCTCTCTTCCCTCCGACCGACTCGTCGGAAGCCGTTAGTTCTGGATCTTAAATGTTCTGATTGTCATACAGCACAGCACACCTGCACAGGTGTGTACATGAGGAAAGGCACCCACCTCTTGTGCGCACCAGGCACAGCTGGGGTGAGTCAGGAGGCACTCCTCACAGGACACAGCACTGCCACTCGTACACAAGTTCAGACCTGCAAAGACAAGATGATTAAAGCGGCGTTGCTCAACAGAGACTCCCTGATGACCTCCGTTCACTGCAACAGAACGTCAAGCCGAGTGGTGCAGGTGCTTCTGCTCAGAACAACCCTGGAAGACCTCCTTACACGAAATATTATGGACGTCCCAGTCCAACCACAATTATTGGACTGGATTTACGATCGAGGCTTTTTTCACTGAGTGGTACCGAAACAGCTGCCACATTACTGTTTGTTGTCGACTTGCTCTGCTCCAGACACAGCTGATGTTCTGCTGCTGTGCAGGAGTCTTCAAGTTTCATCCGGCCTCAGCACCAAACCAGCAGAGAGGGGAGGGCGGCACCCACCACTCTCAGCATCATCATCCTCCCAGCAGAGAGGAAGGTGCACGGTGGTTTTCAACCAGTTCATGAGAAAGTTGACACTTGGATCAATCGATTTTTCCACTAGGGAACATCAGGGAGCAGTAAAGTTTCTGAGAGGTTATACTGAAAAGTTCAAACAGGTTTTTAGGATTTGTCAGGAGCAGTCGTGTTTACTGACAACAAACAAACAAACAAACAAACAAACAAACAAAGATGAAACCAAAATAAAAGCGTGGCCGACTGCTCCCTGCGAGGGTTCATTTCCTCCAGGCGTGAATGCTCTCGGGACAGTCAGGTCTGAACAGGACCTGGGGGAGCTGCGTCTCCTCATTTGGACACATTTGGACAGAACGGGGGACAAAGACTATAAAGTCCAGGTGCTTGTGCAGACCGTCCTCATCCTGATTAAACCACAAGGTGCTGGTTATGAGAAGGGCTGTGTTCTTGTGCAAACAGCTTCTTGGACTTCTGGATAATCTTGTGGACAACAGACATTTTGAGTTGCATGTACAGGTGGACATTTGTTTCCAGCTGCTCAGTCAGTGAAAGTGGTTCCAACCATGGTCCCTGAGGAACACCACCCTGCATGTTCGAGCTGCTACACTCCTGACTCAGTGATTGAAACTTGATGAGGGTTTGCAGGAGCCTGTAGTCAGCCATCCATTCATCAGGTGCGTCCAAGCAGGAAACAACTAAACATGCAGGACGGCGTTCCTCAAGGATCAGGGTTGGGAACCATTGATTTAAAGGACATCATAAAAACAACGTGTCCTTAAACCCGCCGTCAGTCTGACTGGACCAGCTGTAGACCCGGTTCGGGTCCAGAGCCGGAGCAGTTGTAGACCCGGTTCGGGTGGAGCGGTGCTCGTACCTCGGGCAGGGCGCAGAAAGCTGCCCAGCAGCAGGCAGCACAGGGCGGCTCTCCTCCACATGATGTCCCGCTGCGTCCGCCGCTCCACTCCCGCGTTTACTGCTCCGTTTTCAGCACACAGGCCGACGCTGTCCCATCGGAACACCGACTGGACTCAGTCCCGGGTACTGGTTCGGACTGCGGAGCTGCTCGGCCACGTCACGAACTTGGTACCGGCGGCAGCAGCGCTCAGCTCCCCCGCTCCTCAGCCGTCCTCCTCGGGCCAGTCCTCACAGAACAGCCTCCCTCCGCACGAGTCCAATAACCGAAAGCAGAAAAGCCCAGAAGAACCGCGACAGAACCGTCCTCGGTACCGTGCTCTCCCTTCTGGGCTCAGTCTTCTTCTTCGTGACTTTTGTTGGCGGCGGACAGAATCTCAGAGAGGAGCAGCAGCGCCCCCTGCCGGAGAGAGGCGGAGGTGTTGCTGAGGACCCGCATGTTGGTGAAAACCATCCATCCATCCAACCATCCATCCAACCATCCATCATCATCCATCCATCTATCCAACCATCCATCCATCCATCCATCCAACCATCCAACCATCCAT